TTTTTTTTTTTTCCCCCCGGCAAGCCTGTTTAAAACACTTCTGTGTGAGAAGAGGTGGAGCTTTATTGGTAGGCACTGCCACTGCTGTATAGAAGTAATGGTTTCAATAACTGAAGTCTAGGCATGCTAGTTTTAGCATTTGATTGTGAAGTAGTAGTATCATGACATGACCAGAGTATGAACGAAAGGGCAAGCTCTCATCTGCAGAGGGCTGAAACAGTAGTGTTCAGGGGTGTCAGGTCTGGGATCTGTTGCAGTGAAGGATTCTGCCAGTGGCAGACATGACTTGCACAACTTTCTTTAAATACATATTTGCCAGGGTTTCTGAGTGAAAAACCTTGTCTAATAGACAGAAAAACCCATCCCAGTATTTCTCTCCTGCTCTGCAAGTTGTGCTGATCGTAGTGATAGTGGAGTTTTGTGCTACGTAGTGGAGCAGATGAGTATTACCCCAGACGGTGAGAGGGACCCTGGTTATACATAGAATTGCCTTAATCCAGTCTAAACAGAGAGATATTTGTGCACACTTGTTCTGACAAGCTGTGCCAAAACAATCATTGCTCTCTGAGGAGTTAAATATTTCAACCATGGTATGTGATCCAGAACCAAGGTTGATTACCTTCAGATTTGTGGTCATTAACCCGAAATCCCTGTATGACCTTTTTGGTATGCCGATTGGGCATGTGCCACAGCTGATCTGGGATCATGACTAAATACCACTTTTCTAGGTTAAGCTGGTTAGCTAGTGAGTTTCTGCAAAGTAGAGTTCTGAGTCATGAATGCTTTCTGCTTTTGGCTTGGTCCAGGCAAGAATTTTAGATTCCTCTACTATATGTTACTGCCAAATTTTCCTTAAAGGTCTTGCAGTCCCTCCTCTCCATTCCCTTATAAGTTTGTTTTGTTTTGTTTTTCTGGTAGAAACTTGCCAATGAGTTTGAAAGGGCCTGAAATTTTGGAAAGCAGAGAGGAAGAAACAGACAAGTAAATACTAAAAGCTATTATGTAAATCTCGCTTCTGTGGGAAAGTGTACTTCAAAAATAACTTTTCTGTTGAGTTTGGATCTAGTAGTTAAAATTTTCTGGTAATCTTTAATTTTTATTTTCTCCTATTGTGCTCTACAGATGGTCATAGTCCACAAGTGTGAGTTTGTATTTTTTTTTTTAAAAGAGTAAGCATTATGTGTAAATCAGCTAGAGCACTGAAATAGGTTGGGGGTGACGGTTGTTACTATGTAAAGTAGGAAGCAGCAGGATGAAGAACCTATCCATACGTTGCTTTTCAAGGAAAGTGGGATAAGGCTGCAACAGACTAGATAACCCCCAAGTAGTCTGTTGAACTGTCTTCTGTAATCCTTGAGTATCAGTATATAAAGGGAGCTGTAATAAAATCTGGGGGAAAAGTAAAGGGTTTAGAAAGGAATGTTGATCTCACTTTGCAGTGCTCCTTTGATCAGGTGCTCATGGAGGGTGGGACTGGCTATCAACTGGATTAATTAGCAGAGTATTACAAAAGAGACCCTTGAAGTTTGCTGAGCTTCCTTAATAGGCAAGAAGATTCAGGACACTAGGGATAGATAGATAGATAGATAGATAGATAGATAGATAGATAGATAGATAGATAGATGGCAAGCAGAGAAACAAGGAACAGTTCCTCTTACAAAGTGTTCTTTACAGCCCTTTGTTCTCCTCTCCTATCTTTCCAGTCTATCTCTGCCGCCTTACTCTTTTTCTTACTTGATTTTTGCCTTTGCTTTCTTGATGGGAGCACTGAAGGAGTAACACTAACTTCATGTTTCTAGCGTGCAGGAAGAGTATAGCTGAAGAGAAGTTTCTGAAAGCTGTTGTATAGACAGTTAGTAAAATTTACTTTCTGTCACATAATAGAGAGAAGAAGTTTCTAGGGTTTTTTTTCTATGTTCTGAATGTGCACTGTGAGCATTAGGGATTTCATGCTGTCTCTTTTCTGAATGGTGGCTGCCATATGTCCATACTGAAGTGATGAGTGAGGCTCGTGAAGATAGCATATACCGTAACAGCCCTGGCTCTAAGGAGCAAAATTAAATTCATGGGCTCCTTTGTTGTTAGATTTCTCCTGTCAGCTGAATTTCTGTTGTTAATTTGTTGTTAAAACTGTTGCTGCCTCTTGCCAAGGCAGAGTCAAGCAGGATACTACTGTAGACCCCTCTGATAATGTACAAAAGCATGCTGATTTAACATGTCTGTATTTAGATAGCTAATATTTTACTTGGCTGTTCTTTTGAGAGTAAATTTACATTGATGTTCTCCTCTCCAAGAGATATGCTCTGTGTTTTGTATTCTAGGTAGTTATCACAGATATAAGTCTTCTGTGCTTCAGTGAATTCTTGACACAGGCAGTGGAAACTAATATTAATATTAAAAGCAAGAGGTTTAACATGTTGGAGCAGAGCAATCTTTCATTCAAGGACCAAGCCAAGGCCACTAGAATGACCATCTTTCAGAAAAGCCAAGCTTAGAGAATCTCTCAATATGATTCAAACAGCAAAACTAGTGGCACAAAGTGAGTCTGATCCAAGGAAGAGCTTAGCAGAGGTTTACTCTGGTTAATGTGGACACTTATATTAAGAAGCTGAATTTACATGATCAGCAGTAAAGAGGTCTTGATGTACTTTTTAGACAATAGAAGACCACTTATAAATCATCTATAACTTCATCTGTACAAGCCTCTTAAGTGCTAGATTTTTGTTCATCGGAATACTGCATCATCACAGAATCACAGATGCTTTCCATCTGTATGTCTGGGTATGTCTCTTGTTCAGAGAAAGAGGCTTCTTGCTAAAAGTGGATTTAAGATCATGTGTGTTTCTCTTAATACAAAGATTGTACGATAGCAATAGCTAAGGTACATTTCTAGTCTTTCTGTAGTAGTTTTCTAATCTTTTTTAAAACCTGCCTTTGGGATTGAAGATACTGATGCTGCTTGAAAAACTGAAGCTTCATTACACCTAGTATTACCTTTTTAGTTCTGATTTTGAACTGTCAGAATGATAAAGTGAATTGAATCAGTATCCGCTATTGTCTTCTGTTTTGATTCCACCCACAGCCTCAGTAAACTTCACATGGCTGAAGCCATATATAAAAACTGTTTTTTTCATTTGCACATGTGTGCATGTACATGAACATGCATGGTAGTAAACTAGTGGTGTCAGAAATCTTGGCTTATATTGGCAGTCGATGGTTCCATTCATCCTGGTCCCCTCTGCTTCTCTATTTTGTTGTTCTCAAGTTCAACAACTATTTCCCAAAAGGATCGATGATGCCTAAAGGTATTTAAACATCTGGATTAACTGTGATTATGCGTGTAATCCAGGATTAACCTGGATTCTCGTTTTTCACCTCTCAATAATATTACAGCACCTGGTATGAGTCAAAAGTAATAGTTTCAAACATTTAGTATGACAGAGAAGTTTCTATTAAAAATGACATAGAAGTCCCTTTGGCAGAAAAGGTGTTTCTGCTTAAATTGAATTGATGGAAAAGTGAGCACGATGACTTTGGCATCAACATCACCAGTTGATTTAATGTGAAAGTATGTGCTTTGTAACTACTTTTCTTGTCAGGTGGTATTGCCATCGGTTAGGCCCTAATATACCAAGTCAGTCTTGTTACTGCACAGAGAATGGACCAAACTCTAAGCTAGCATGAGGACTTGTGTAATTTCTTACATAAGTGAGAACATCACTTAGCAGTTTATACTTTGCCACTTCTTTATTCGTCAGTATTCTAAGAGCAGATACATGGAGGAACATTACCAAGTCCCACCTGCTCGATGAGAAGACACACTGCCCTTGCCTTTCTCTCCTCAGCTGAACTGTGACAGAGTTGGTGTCACTTGGAGCAGCATAGAATTTCACACTCTCACTACCCCTAAACACAAGCATGCAAAGAGTACAGTTCCTTCTTAGTGATCTTGTTCCCTAGGTTCAGGCTGCCCTCTCCCCATACCTGATTAAACATTCTAGAAGCAGACACAATTACAAACATTAATTGAAGGACGAAGAGCTGAGATTTCACTTACCTGAAAAAAAAAAATTGTTTTCAACTTTTTTTCAAGAAGAACCCATACACACTAGTAAAATAATAGTGTATTCTTAATCCAAGTGGAAGGATTGCAGTATTACTGGTTGTTTTACTTAGGAAAATGTTACTTAAAATAAAACCACCTGTCCCAGGGTATAAGAACAATGTAGTGACATATTGCAAAAGCAACTGCAATTGTGATAACCATGATTTTGTTTTTACAGTAAAATAAAGTTGAGGTGAAAGTCCTGGCCAGTGGAATGATTCAGTACTGATTTCCTGCCAGCGTGGTATATACCTGTATTCTGTTTTCAAGGCCTGTTTTGTCAATTTCTGACAAATAAAAACTTGGCAGATATGTGGATTGCAAATTCATTCTGGAATTTCTGGAAATAAACTTGGAAAAAGAAGAGGTTCCTTATTGCTTTAATTTTCAGTCTTAAGTGTGTCCGCAGCATTATTGTCCTTCTCTACAAATAATCTGAAGCTAACAGCAAGCATATGTCATATTTTGGGATATCTGTTCAGAACCATGAATGCTGTAAACTTTCTGTAAGACTTGAAATCTTAGAATTTCACTTGATCGTCATGCAAGCCATGCATTTGACAAAAAAGAAAAAAAATAAAGACTGAGGGTCGGACATTAAAAACATTTCAAAGTACAAATACTTTAATATTTGGTAATGAGCAGAGGGAATTGTTAGTGTTCTGTGTGTCTAGAATGCTGCCTGCTAAGCTGCAGTATGAATTACTTTCGGAATAGAATAGTAAAAGATTTTTTGTTGCGTAAGAGTATTTCTATCATGAAATGAGGTATCAGTCCACTCACTGCTAAATGAATTAAAGTTTTTATGGCTGTCAGTGTTATGTGCATATTTCTATGCCTGTGATGGAGTCTAATAATTGAAGACTGTTTTCCTACCACTCTCTGTATCTTGCAGGCATACAGGAGTTTCCAGAAAATATTAAAAACTGTAAGGTCTTGACAGTTGTTGAAGCCAGCGTAAATCCAATTTCGAAGTAAGTTTGTAATTTGTTTAGTGTTTTATATTTTGTACAAAGACTGCTGAATTCCAAACTTGCCCCATACATGAGCCAACCCTTGGAGGCATTAACCTCACTGCACTGTCATACAATATAACTGTGTCGTTTAAAAATTTTACCCAAGTTAGTAGGCTATGTGGACGTTCCTGCTTTATAGCACGCGGCTTTCTCAACTTTTTCGAGAGAACACGAATACACACCTAGACTACATTTGTTATTTATTTTATTGCCTAAGATATTGTCCTTGATACTTAAAAATAATTTTGAAACTAATCTCACAGAGAACAAGTATCTAGTGCAATTTAGTAGAAATTCTGCTGCAACTTAATTTTAATGTTATCTATATGTAGGACTTCAACACTGTACTGGTTTTTAATAAAATACAACTTAATGCTCCAAATGTAACAGAAACAAAGGCACTGCATTTTCTTATTTCTGTACAGGCTTCCAGATGGGTTTTCCCAACTGTTGAACCTAACGCAGCTGTACCTGAATGATGCTTTTCTTGAGTTTTTGCCAGCCAATTTTGGCAGGTAAGTTAAATTCGAAATGTAGATGTCTATATTCAGTCTCAAACTTATGCGGAGTGGTGTCTGCTGCTTCTCAAGCAAAGCGTGAAATGGAGAAGCATATCTTACCAGTTCCTTTATGCCACTTAATAGTTACAAAAACCCCAAACCTGTATCTTTATCACCATTTTTTGATTGGACTTTTGGAGGACAGAATACTTATGAAGAGACAAGAAGAAACTCGTTTACATAATTGCTTCTTTTTCAACACAAGTCTGATAAGCCTGAGAGATGAGTATTTCCAAAATATGGCTTGTATATTGTTTAATAGCTGGAGTGAAGTACATAATGACATCTGTAATTCCACTTGTCCTCTCCTGGATGCACAGATTCCTCATGCACATCTGTAATTCACAACTGCCTTGTTGTCGGGAATCTTTCTGAAAGAGTTAGTATATTTACAGTGCGCAACTAGGCAAAATTGTTCCATATAATAGCTTAAATATGAGACAAATACTAAACCCCTACCACTTTAAATTGATTAAATCTTAGGAGCAAATGTGAAAGGATAATATTGTTAAATGGAAGACAGATAAGCATAGGAAAGGGAGACTAAATGAGCATAGTTCATCTCATTCTCGTTATCATGGTTTTTCAGCCATTTCTGCTTTTTCCCCTGTCTCTTCACCCTTGTTATATGCTTTGATTTCCTGGAGTGTTGCTCTCCTACCCCATCCCATGTCCAACAAGCCTCTCTTTCAGGAAATATGGCTATTAGTTAGCTAGGCGTATTGTTGTGTGAAAGCAGTTTTCTAAGGCTGTATGGTTTTAGTTGTTTACAAGGGATTAGAAAATCCTGCAAATAGAGTGCTGCAGAAGTTGTGCAAATCAGGAGGTGTACAGTGAAGGATGAGCACAGGTGCAGTCTATCAGTGGCCATTACTTTATTAGTGATCTGTGATGAGAGTTGTTGGCCAGTTCTTCTCTGTCCAGTTATTAATCATTTGCTGATGAACTATATAAGGCAGCAGATCTGTTACACACTCAGCTAACAAAAAGCTGCTTATGATGCAGGAACATTAATCATGCTTGTTTCTAGTACACAAAGTTTGCATTTCAAAAGCCCTCATTAATTTTGAAGAAGAAATATCTGGAAGATGCCTAGTCTTGTTGGCATTTTAATGATTGCCTATACAGTTTTCAGTAATCTAAGCAAATGTGAAGATTTTCTTAGTAAAAACCAGGCACTGCAGATGAAATCGAAGACTTCACGTTCACACAGCTGGTCTTACAAGTAGTTCATCTTACACATAGTTTAAAAAAGCATCATTATAATTTTTTCTTCATCACTGTGCTTCTATAATGCCTGATGGTTAGGGAAATGAAGTCATGAATTACTAAGAATTTAAGAATGTCAGTTACCAAAGGAAACTTGAAAGCCAATTCTCCATTGTAGTGTTTCTCTTAGTACCTATGAAGAACTCTGCCCTGTTTTTTAAAATACAGAGACTTGCAGCATAGTGGCTTGTAGTTAGGAAAATGAAGCTGAAATTAAGACTTTTCTCATCACCTGTTTTTAAATGAATTCAAAGTATTCATAAAAGTTTACCTTCTAATAATGGCATTGCACAGAACAAGTGCTGTTCTGTAGGAACAAAATGTTTAGATCAAATTGGAAAGCAGTGAATTGGTAAAATGTCATTTTAGCAAGGTTCAGACCCCTTTGACATTTAGTACTTCTGTAAGTGATCAGACTGCTCTGCCACCTCACAATTTTACAACTATGTGTAAACAATTGCCGGTGCAAATACTCTTTAACTTGTATTTGAGAATATAAGAATACTTTTTAAAACAAGAGGAATCCAACAAAGTTTGAGTTCTATCACCTCTTTCTGGCAACCATAGTAATGCCTCAAAGACTGAGCCAATGCAGTATTAAAGCTGGTGAGGCACTTCTGCTCCATGTGTCAGGATCTCTCTTTCAGCAGTTCAGGTTAGAAAACTGGTTTCCCATAGGTTTCTCTCTATTAGTATTCATATATTCTACAGTATAATTGCTGTCATCTCTTATGAGTGTTGTCCTCCTTTCTCTCACCTGCTATTTTTATGGTGTTCTCGTATCCCTTTTTAGTTTGTTAGACTAAACAAAATTCCATTTTCCTCTGGTATGGCAGGTTTTTCTTTGTGCTTGATTTTATTAATACATCTTGGAAAGAGCTTCAGTTTGAATTAATCTTCTTTTTGACAGAGATGATGACATGTATAGCTATATTTAGAATTCAAATTGAGATCTCTTCATGGCTAGTGTAGTGTCATGATTATCTTCTTGTTTCCCTTGGAAACGACTGTGGTTATGCTGTAGTGTTCCAGTAGCCCTTTTTACAGCTGCCTAGTGTCATTTCCCACATGACTGACTAATGCATTAGACAGCTCAGTTAGAAATGACTGATGATTCTACAAGAAAATTATGAGTACTTGACTTTGGTGCTACAGCATCTTGTCCCTTTTCTATTTTTTTCCTAATTTTTAAGGTTATATGGGGTTTTTTTCTCTATGGTATCCTAATATTTGTCTCCATTGTCTCTGACTGTTTTTTTGTGACATCATCCAATTTAGACATTTTTCCTATTGTTTGAGATTGCTCTTAAAATACATTAAACAGTGTAGTCCCAAAATAGGTGTTTGAGCAGCTCTGTCAATACCACTCAGCCTGATGCTAAGCTAAGAACACTTTGTGTAATGCAAACTGCTTCTAGTATATCCATGAAGCATATTGCTACTCTCACCTCCATGCATTATTCTTGCCTTCAAAATTTATATATATTTCAGTCCTTGCACCTTTATATTTGAGTTACAATTAAAAAAAAGTCTGCATTAGCAAAAATGCAAAGGTGAAAAATAAAGAACATCTCTCTGTGAAATGTTTTTTTATCTTTCCAAGGTATGACTACTGTTGAACAGCAAGTTTCTAAGTATACCTGCTGTATATTTCTTTCAGATTTTTACAGATTGTATAGTTACAGAAATAAAAATTAGAAGGAGTATTGATGATATGGCAAGGTGTTAATGTAAAAATCGAGCAACATTTTAAAAGCAAGCTAACTTTTTAAATTAAATAACAATACTGCAACAATGATTTGTTGAGACTGTAAGACCAGGTATACTTAGAGTTGAATGTTACTCTATTACAGCTTTGTGTTTTGGTGATGTGTAAATATTTCTGTGGTTACAGGTTTTTTAAGTTGAAAAATGAAATAATTCCGTACTAGTATGACAAGTCTTTGACATAATGGCACAGGAAATAATATATATTCTGCCACTGTGACTTCTATTTTTCCTCCAGTATAGATCTACTAGTTCTCTCTCTGTATTTCTCTTCCAAATCAAAACTCATTTTTTCCATTCTGTTACAGCAGTTGAGATGCTTTGCATGATGTTTACAGCAGCAATTTAAAGAACACCTAGGCTGAGTATTATTTTACTAAGCTTGAATTAATGCTTCTGGTCATAGTGGAAGAAGTGATAACTGCTTCAGTCCAATATTTCTCATCAATTACTGCAAGAAAATTACTGGTTTAGACACAGCCAGTATCTCCCAGATAGGAGAAGTTGAAAATGTTAACCTGGTAGCCTCTGTGTATCTCTGCATGTAAGAAATTTGATATTTCTCCTTTCAAATTTCTTAGGGGTAGCTGAAGAAAGAAACATGAAACAAGATGACAAAGCTATGAACCTTTCTAGCACCAAAGGCAGTCTTTAAAAATCAAAAAATTAGCTTATTAGAAGCATAGTACTGTCAGATCTGGCTGAAGTTAACAAAGTGTGCATGTGCACATATATATATATATATATTGTTTAGCATATCAGCGGCAGTTTGCTTCTGCTGCATTCAACTGAGAAATTTCACTGAATACAGATGTTTTGAATAAATACTATGAACCATGTAGCTATTTTCCCTGTCATCAAAGCAAAACATCAGCTGGAGTCTAATGCAGTATTCAGTTGCTCTTGGTTTCGGGAAATCCAAGCAAAATGACCATTCATATCTGAGGGTGCTTAAACAAACAGGTTTTGTTTTGTCACAGGTTGGTATCTTAGGATGCAGACAAGATAAGAAGGCTAGGAAGTCCTTTCTGATTATGTCCTAGATTGGCAGCAGTGACATTACTGTGGGCTGGATTTCTACCTTCTTCTCTACTGTGGACTATTCTTTCAAGCACTGTTAGAGCGTGTTGTTTTTTCCTTTGAGAAGTTGAGGAGAGGAGGTTCATCTCCAGCAGTTGCTGCCAGATGGCATGTACTGCTTGCAGTGCTGGGCTATGTTGACCTCTGCATTGTTTCAAGGTGACTGTTACATTCTTGGTTTATTCATGGGTGTGGCAGATTGCTATTTTCACATTCATCCAGAAATGATGATCTAGAGGAAAAAAATATTTTTTTTCAGCTTTTTATTTTTACTTTTGAGTGTAGATCTTGCTACGTAATCAAAATTAAGGTTTTTTTGTCTCTGTACTTAAAATGTACTCAGTTTGAAAGAGTGGTCTGTTCACTAAGCTCATTTCTGAGTCAGGGAGCTCAATGCCAAGTTTTGTATTGTATGAGGGCTGTATGTGGGTCACCTGTAGAACTCTTGTCTTTACAATCCTGTCTCTAATTAAACCAAAGCCATTTTCTGCATTTCACGTAACAAAGAGATAGTCTTGTCCTGATGCAAAAAGTTCCACTGGGAATAGTACATTGTTTGAAAGTCCAGACTGTGTTGAACTTCCCATGGCCAAGCAGTTGTGTTTGGGATTTAGCGGTTATTTATCTTGCAACCAAGGATTTAATGAAAGAAGGGTGAAACTGCCTAGTAGAAATACCAAAATGGATTAAGAAGCTGACTGGAAAGAGAATATGGAAGGAAATCCAAGATGAAATTTAAAGGCTGTTTACACCACGTGGAAGACCACAAGTATTCTTCTGATGAGGCTGTTTGATACATTGCCAGTATTAGAAATTCAGCATCCTAACTTGTGCAGACAGATTCTACCTTTCTTCTATTCCTTTCTGTGTGCTTCTGTATATGTTGATAACATGTACCCTTAATGAATGCCATGAAGTGCTTAAAAACCTTTGGGATGAAAGAAGACAAATGTGTTCAAACAGATGCAGAACAGCAGGCAAGATCTAGTTTGTTTGCTGCTTTATTCATAGGGGCTTGGTTTTGGTAAATGAATTTAAAATAACATGCAGATTTTTGCACAAAGCACACTTGTATTCTTGCAGACAAAGGATTTCAAACTTGTAGGTATTTTTTTTTTTATTAAGCAATATAAATAGGTTAAGAGATTGCTTTTGTCACGAAATACAGTATATTATGATAATTTGTTATGCCTTTCTCTTACAGATTAACTAAACTCCAGATATTGGAACTTAGAGAAAACCAGTTAAAGATATTGCCAAAGTAAGTACAAATGATATTAATTTAAACTACTTCGGAGGGTTTTTGTCTTCAGTTATAGTGTAGTGCATATTGAAAAGTATATCACAGTAGCTAAGTAGCTGGACTAAGTTCTCAGAAGGAGCTTTCCCTTCATACTGCTGAAATTCTGTCTCACTTCAGACTGACTGATCTGCCTCTTCAGAGAGTTGCATATTCAGAGATTTTTTTTTTTTAAGTCCCTGTCCATTTCTGTGAATTTCTGATTCCACTTGTTGAGCTTTTAAGTCAGCATGTGGGCATCTTAGGATGATCATTCTGAGATGTCTGATGCTCCTTGCATGCAGTATCGTGTGATTACCCAGATGCCTGTCTGGATACGATTCTGCTGGCTGAGTGTCAGAGATTTAGGCATTGGTAATTAAAATCATATCTGAATCAAATGTGGAATTTGACATGCAGAATGACTGAGGGAATGCAATTCACATGACTTGAACCTCATTTTTAGTTAATATACTTCCGAGATGAAGAAAGCACCTACTCTAGTGTAACATAGTATCTCTTATACCCTGCCTATTCAGTAGTAAACAAGCAACAGGCTTGTTTAACGTATCGGCAACACGTTGCTCAGATGTGTTTTCTGTAGTAGTAAAATGGTTCTGGGCATTCTTACAGCATTTTTTTTTAACAGTAGACCTAATTGTACCTCTCAAAATCTAGCATCTTTCTAAACCCTGCCTTGTCATTCTCTCATTTCATCAAACAAGCCCAGGCTGAATGTGTTGCAATTCCTGATTTTTCTATGAGCTAGTGCAATGCTCTGAATTTTCTGGCTTGGACCCTGGAAGTCTAAGTAAGTTAACAGAGGTTTTAGAGGTGTGAAGAGAGAAATAGAGATCTCGAAGATGGGATGTGAATAACCAGCTGTAGAGTCCTGAATATGTTGTGGTGTACTGTCCTCTTCTACCAACAGAAACTGGTAAAGAGGGACTGGTTTTGGTGAATGTGAGAGATCATAGAATCATAGAATGGCCTAGGCTGGAAGGGACCTTAGAGATCATTTAATCCAACCTCCCTGTCAACTAGATCGGGCAACACATGGGGACTGAGTGGGGATCAAACCCGCGGGCTTCGTGTTATCAGCACCACGCTCAACCGACTGAGCTAACCGGCCCCCAGAGATGTTTTGGTTGGAGGAGAGGAGGAGCTAACAATTGAATATTTACTCTGTCCACCTCATGTGTTAGTAGAGACTTGCATGCAGTACACTGAAATGTGAATTGCCAGCCTTCCAAGTACAACTGCCTGTTTTCTTAGTGACTGTAGCTAATTATGTGACTAAGACATGACCAAGGGATATGTTCTACTGGAATTCCCTTTTAGTCTGCGTAGATACTCTACCATGATATCTGCTGTATAAAGGTAGCAGAACTTGTATCTGTAATGAAATGAGTTGCATCACAAAGTGTGCATTTAAATCTTAAACGTGTGAAGCATTCTACTCATTTATGCAAAATAAATATTCTCTATCCTCCTTTGCTCTTTCTGCTATTACTGATTTTTTAGTAGAAAAAAAAGAATTAGAGGATGTGTAATTTTGAGTAGAAGCTCTGTAAATTAAATTACTCCCAACTGAGGAGAAGTACTTATAATTAAAGCTTACAGCTAATACAGGTTTTGTTTACAAAATTGTTCTGACCTTAATTACTGTAATTAACACTGATAGCATGAATTATATGTGATATTCTAAAAAAAGTAGTTTACAGAGGACTCTTGTAGTGATAAGAGAAATTTAAACAAATGCTGTAATGTATTTAAGCCAAACACAAGTTCTGCTGAAGTTGTGGGGAATTGGTTTTTTTACTTCAGTGTTTTCAAGTTTTCATCCTTGATGAAAAACTGAACAGTAGCTGTCATGAAGGTGTCCTCCGCAGCACCTCCATAATGATCCACAGTACAGGCCGAGCTGCCACCTTTATTATTCTCTTCTGGTGTACTTGTGGTTCAAGTAAAGGAGATTAAAGCTATTGAGAGTGCTTTAAAAAAATAAAAAATAACCACATTTATATGCAGTAATACATGTTTTCCAGTGAGTCACTGGAAGCATATATTGTTTACGTAGGATGTACACTAGGGAGAAAAAATTCATTGTGGTGCCCATAGTATGTAAGAGGTGAATCTGCCTTTCATGACAGGAGAAGCATACAGCAATTGACCTGGCCAGCACAGATGTTACTACATTAAAACAATAGCTGTGAAATTTGCACTCACACAGTTTTCCAAACCTGAGTATGTGTTTTAAAATTAACATGCTGTACAGCTTTAAACAGTGTAGAAAATCCAAACGTTTTTAAGCTAATGAGATATAGAAGTACATGCTAATATTTTTGCTGTAGAGTACAACTATCTTTTGTTCCCCGTCACTTTCACCTTTTTAAGGTTTTCATACTTACAGCCAATTCTTTCATATTTGTAATGAGAAATATATTTGGATGAATTTCTACAAAATCAGCTATCCCTCCTGCGGAATTAAACATGCACATAATTTTGAACACTAATGCATGAAGCACTTGAAAGGCTGTTAATTGAAATGGGTAATTAATGCCAACACACTAAATCAACCTTGCTTTGTGCCAAATGCATCAATTTGCTTGGAACTTATCCACAGCTAGCGACTGCAAAACTGGCAGTAGTGTAATTCAAAACAGCTCAGTGAAAATATTTCAGCTGAAAGGAAAGCAAAAATACATGAAGATCATTTTAGAGGCATTTATTTGATAGGTAGCTGAAAGTTGGGGAAATGGTCCAATGGAAATATAATGTTTATTTTTAGTTTTTGTTAAGCTTTTTTCTGTTGCCTAACTGTTAATAAAGAGACTAACCTTTTTAGAAAGAAGCAAGTTATTTGAGAGTTTAATTAAGATTTGTCAGGGCCTGGTCTTGCTGTCACACACACCTCTGGAGTTGTGTGCTACCTGAAGTGAGCTGCGGTGTTAACCTTAGTGAAGCCATCAATTTATAACTTAAAATCTTGGGCATAATTTAGACTACCTGATCCTTTAGGATTGATTTGACAGCAAGTTCAGTAATAAGAATAATGAAAAAGATTTTTCAGTTTATGGAAGGAATTACATAGTGCTTGGCAAAGACAGAAATAGGTATAGCTCAGTTACGTAATAAATGTTTGTTTCGAATCTCGTGTTCCTCTTCCTTTAGCATTGAGTGTTCCTGTTACTTTAACATTATTGGAAGCTTTGTTTGCATTTTCTGTGAAGGTACAGTTGGTCTAGAAACAATAAAGAAAAGCCAAGAGGTACTAATCATAGAATCGCTTAAAGTGCTATAGTTTAGGCAGGGAGTGGGGAAGAAGATAACTGAGGCCCTGGTTTTGCGAACACCGTTGTGTATATTTTGCATTCGAGTAGATGTGTTCACTAGATAACAGACATTTTCGCAAGGGGGAAAGAAGAGGGCCCCAAATCAGTAAACTTACTTTGTTATGCTGTCAGTGCTATGTAACATCAGTTTTGAGATACTTGAGAGGAGATACATATAGATATTTGCTCTCATTCTGAATAGTAAGACCAGGATCCTTCGAGAAAAACTGTAACAATTTTACTTTTAGGAAAACTGTGAAGATTAAGTCAAGAGTGGCAACTTTGGGTTGCCTTAGAGCCAGTAAAGTTGTAGCAGTGGCAGAATGGGATGGGAGCACCTAGAGCTCGAGTTGAACTGGAGTGGAATTTGTCTGTATAGTGTAATTTGTGATCAGGAGGAGAGGAGCTTTATTGAATAAATTCTCTGAATGTGGTGTTAGCTGTTTTGGCGATTTGGCCTCGGAGCTGGGTAGTATACAGGAAGAAGGAAAAAAATAAAATCACTCAGACCTTGGACTGCGTTGGTCTGGGAGACTGTTAGGTTTCTTTGGCGCTTTTTTTTATTATTGTTTTTACTGAAGCATTAGAATAAAAAGAGAAGAGTTCATGCTGAACTGAAAGAAAAAAAAACCATTCATCTCAGCTGCAGTAGAAAACTCTGCTTGACCTTCTTGTAATTCACTCTCATTAAAATTTACTTAAATGGGGTCCAACGTTTTTCATTTTGTTACCTGGGGTTTTTTTCTTCACTTTTACCTCTGTTTTTATTTCTAAGCTGGAAATTCAGTTCAAATAAAAATCAAGGCCCTAGCTCAAAACTGTTGAAATGGAAGGACTATAAAAATGTTAGGATAAGGCTTTTTTTTTTTTCCCAAAAAGAATCATTTATTGAAACTCATATATCAATTCAGTCCCACATAGCTGTGATCCTCCTTAAACTACTTTTTGAGGCTGAAATGTTGATTGTCAGTGGAGTTTGGAACTGCTCCCTCTAGTAGCCCACAGTCTAGCTAACATAGCTTGAAAACAGAAGAAATCTAAAACCTTTTTAAATTGAAGCCATCAGTAAAAGTACAGCATAATGTTGCCTGTGAAGGTTTGAAAGCTGCAGAATGATATGCCAGATCTTTAGAGTGAATTTTCTGCTGTGCTTTTGGGAGATGTGTTGGGGCATATTTGCCATCAACATGTATCACTAAAATTGGTATTGTCATGGTCTTATAAAGCTTAGAGAAATTCATCCTGTTCATTAGCTTGTGAAATGAGAGAGAATGTTTCTTGCATACTTCTGGAAGTAGCCTTTTCATGCTTTTCTTTTTTGTTTTTCTTATGTGAAGCAGTAGGGACGTGAGTTAAAGACTTACCCCTGAAGCCTGTGAATACTATGTGTGTAGTGCAAAAAATAGCTTCTGTTTTTGTCTTGATTATGTATTTACCTACTTAGGCTGGGGGCAAAGTAGGAATTTAGCACAATTAGTATGATGTAGTGAAGATCAAATCTATAGACAAATGTTGAGTGTAAGCCTTTCATATTTAATGAATATTGCTAATAATACATTAACTTACCTTCAACAGATAAGGATTTTTTAAATAAAATGTAATTTTTGAACTGTGTATTCAGAACAGCTGTAATACTTACTGTATTTGAAAAACTAGCTCTGAACAACCACACAGAATATCTTGTGTTCATGCAGATTTTTTTAAAGATAGTGCTCGCACACGTATTCAGATAAAAGACTTTACCATTTAGAAGCTCTTACTTTTTTTTTTCCAGAATTTTAGGGTATATACAGACCTAGAGTTTATATTTTGAGGATTTAGGTATTATTACTTATTCTATGGATATCTATTCTTAAGTAAATACTGAACATAATGCCATATGAGGGATTCACAGCCCCTTTGAAAATAATTTTAGGTAGTAAAATTATTATGCTTTGACTGGAGTACTGACTCTGTAGACTACCATGTGCAGTGGTAGATAATCTCTGTGGGGCCCCCAAAGTAAACTTAAATGGAGCAAAGATGTTGCCAAAACACATCTTGAAATAATGGATTTTACGTTATTTCTGTCATTAATTTAATCTTTACGATAAGCTGATTTAGAGAGTATTGTGTCACAAAATCCAGTTTGACCACTGTGAACTGGTTGAACAGTGTGTGAAAAAATGACCTTACTTGGGTATCAGTACAGTTACAGAATGTTGTCACTACTTAATACTGATTAAAACAATATATTTGTTTGAATACAGGAAGATTGCAAGTAACTGGTATTTTCTTAAATCTAATTCCTTGTTAATCCCCTTCATTTGCAGAACCATGTCCAGACTGACTCAGCTGGAGAGACTGGACTTAGGAAGTAATGAATTCACAGAAGTGGTGAGTTTTCCCTTAGTAATGGAGCTCTCCAATACAGAGCTTTGTATGTTTTGTAAATCTCTTTATACATTCATCTATTTTTAATCAATATGAAAATATAAACATGTGCTTAAGAATTCAGCTACTGAGCAAATATGATCTATACCTTATATGACTTTATGGAGCCTGTTATAAAAATTATGTGCATATTCTGATGAATATGGGTATGTTTTTTGTCAGTTTGAAAGTAACACTGTAGTTACTACACTGGCAAAAAATAATGGTAATATGTGTTTTAATTATAAACACAATTGTCTTACAATAAATTCTAAACACTTAGTGGTTATCGTGTACTTAATATTGCAAGTTCTGTAAAACTGGTGCATAACCTGTTTTTATTATTGTTTACAAACTATTTAGATCCAAGGAAAACTATATTGATTTTAAGCTTGAACATTGCTCAAAATTGTATTTACAGTTGAGGTGCTCGATTTTTTTTCCTTCAGCATAAATCAACTTGTTTCCTGTTCATGATCTCACCAACAAGTACATCTTGTATTTACAATCACTTAACATCTCTTTTCTTCTACAAGTATTTTTCTGGATAAATGAAGTGAAATAGAAGTGTGGTGGAACGTACTGACCTGCCTGCCATATAATAAATTCAAATCTTTGTGTGACACTAGTAGATAATTCAGAGCTGAATATTTGACTAGTTCTGTTTTGGTAGATAAAGAAGTGTTTTTAAGAAATTGTTCCTTAGTGTTATTGTACTTCTGACCATTACCATTACTGTCATACTCTCATTAAATGGTAGATATGCATGTGGGAGCCTTAAACTAATGTGCTCAGGTCCAAGCCATAACAGCCAGGAAACTAAGTATAGGCTGCAAAATCACCTGTTTGGATATAATTTTGGTTGATTGCTTCAACTCTCCCAGTCTTTTAGCTACACGAGTCAAATATTGGTGACGTATTTCATTAAGATCATCTGGTAAAAGCACAGAATTTTTTTTTGATCTGTCTGAAAGGTGGTCATCAATTAAGATTGTCTCTTGGAAAATAAATTATTGGGCATCAGGACTGCAACTTATACAGGAATGCTGTAAATTTGCAGTATAACAAAATTGAATTCTGCAGTTGACTCAACTTGGATGTAGCTGTTAAGGTGCTGTAGCACTGATTTTGTGTTAATTTCTCAGGAAGGAAGTTTGAATAGGAAAGCATATGCAACATGGATATTTACCAAGAAGTGGTCTTTCCCTGACATGCAAGATGCTTCTGACAATAAATTGTAACGGAAGCACAATATTGCATGTTGCTTTATGGATGGAGTGATTTGCTTGTATCATGCAGATGCACACTTTGTTGCTAGAAAATGAAAATTAAAACTTGTGTCCCATTTCCCTAAAACTGCAGAATCATTGTGGATTTTGAAAACCAGGTCTTCTGAGTTGATGTAATTTAAGGTTTTTTAGACATCCCCCATGAAGGAGGAAATTGTACACATGATATTTATTTACTGTATGTTCCAATTGAAAAATAGTACTTTCTATTAAAAAAATCCACCGTTTCCTGTAAGGATTATTTAGTGCTGTGATCATCAGGTTCTTAGGAGATTTTTGTGTATCTAGTGTATATTTACATTTTGAAAAGTGAATTATTTCAGTTTTCTTTGATAACCCATTGAAAAAAATAATAACAGATACAATAAAACATTACTTAAGGTTGCAGAAGAAAAATCACTGAAGTTATTTTTGCCTTTTGCTATTTTTTGTATGAAGTTTTTAAAAAAAAATGGGTTCCATTTACAGCCTGAAGTACTTGAGCAACTGAGTGGGTTAAAGGAATTTTGGATGGATGGTAATAGACTAACACTTATTCCAGGGGTAAGTTCTTTTACTGTCTTAAACATTTAGTGGTTTAATTTACAGTGATATTAGCTGTCTTAGTGATCATAAGTGTTAAATTTGCTATGTAATTTTAATGTTACTTAAAACCAAAATGCTAAGTGCCACCTAAAACGTAACTAGTCTGATTAGGAATTGTCACTGATGACGAGAGCTGGGTATGCAGCTTTCTTTTCACTGGAAGTTATATGCCAGTCATCCAAAATTTACGTTCCAATTCAGGGAAAGGGTAAAAGTCCTAGATGAAATCATGGATCAAATTTAGGGTTGACTGATCCTTTCAAAAAGGAGTTATTCTGTGTTAGACAGCAAGCAGGAGTTTACAGAATAAATATGTTGTGTGAATTTTTATTCCTCATGGCTGTAAAGCTTGGGATCTTGACATCTTTCAGAATTATATGGGGTCCAGGCTGATCTCTACTTCACAGTAAAATTAAAACTCTGAGACAGTGATGATGTGTCTTCCCGGTGAAGATTTTGGTACAAATCTTCTATCTTGTTCTCGGTTCATATGTAAGGGTAATACGAGCTTATATTTTGGCTTTTTCTTTCAGTTTAGTACCGTTAGGGATGCATTGTTGTTGATTTTGAGGTTAAGTAGGATGCAGTTTTTCACAAAAGGCAAAAATAAGCTTTTGAAGACTCTACTGTCCTTATGTTATCTATCTCTGTCTGAGATCTGTTCTAAAGCTTCAGTTACTTGATTCACAGTAACTGATCAAACCCCAGTGAATTTGCAGGAGACTGGCTTCAGAGACCTGCAGAATTAATGTAGTGTGTCTGTCTGCGCGTAAAAATGTCAACTGCTTATCTGCGCAAAGTACTTTATTACAAAGCTTGGATTTTTTGCATAAAATTGTACTTCAGCGCTATAAATAGGTTTTCTCTTTTCCTCTGGCATTACGCTTGAGAGACAGTTTGTTGTCAAATCTTCTGGGTTTTTTGTTTTGAACTTGCACTTTGTAGAATGCATTATTTTCTCTTACTTTTAGTTCATAGGCACTTTGAAACAATTGACCTACTTGGATGTTTCTAAAAACAACATTGAAGTAGTTGAAGAAGGTATTTCAGGTTGTGAAAGCCTGCAAGACCTGTTGTTATCCAGTAACTCACTTCAGCAACTGCCAGAGTCTATAGGTTTGTATTTTCAGTTAATTTGTATTCTTAAAATCTTATAGTTTAGACACATAACACTTGCAAATAGGCAAATGCCATTTTAGATCTGAGTTTCAGTTGTTTAAAAATCCAGTTTTGAATAAAGCTGTAGTGCGTAGCTGAATGATAAAGTTTGTGCTTGTTTTGGAGCGTGCTTGACTTTATACAGTACTTTGTAAATGGATGAAATACTGTTGACTGTAACAGTAAAAATATTCCCTTCCCCACTCCCACCACAACTGGAACATGGTAAGCTGGGAAACAAGATCTGTAAGCTTGTCATCGTCTTTCCTTATGTATATAGCACTATAGGCAGGCCAGGGAATACAAATGTAGTTGCCTGCACATAGTTTGGTTTGTTTTTTTTTTCCCCTCCTAATTTAAAATTAAAATTAAGCTTAATGAGGTCAAATATCCTTTCTGATTTACTTGTTTGTTTTATTGCAGGCTCCCTGAAGAAGGTAACAACACTTAAAATTGATGAAAACCAGTTAATTTATTTGCCAGACTCCATAGGAGGGTAGGTATTTTACTTGCTTAAAAGTTGAATTGCCTTTTGGACACTTTTTAGTAGCAATGACTCCTCTTTTAAATGCTTTTACACTTAAATGATTTAATTTCTTCTAAATGTTAACATCTTAATAAAATTGAAAGCACCATCATCTACTTTTATGTTCTTTATGTATTATTTAGTATCAAAAAATGTATGTTCCTAACTTACTAATGGAGCCACCAATCTATAGAAGAAAAACTGAATGTGAGAGAAAACAAGGTGCTTAAAAAATGCAGTCAGCTGTCTGAAACTGGTTTTTGGCAGTAGCATAGCAGTGGCTCTGGTAAACGTCACAAAATATTGAACCGTTATCAAAAAACTTTAAAAAGTGAATCTGAACACACACAGTTACCTTTGTTATGAGGAGAATTTTCATCTGTTCATCAGCATGTTTTTTTTAATGTATAATTTCATAAAAGCTTTTTCTTGGGTTTAATTCCTTTGTGTTTTGGAGTTTTATTTTGAAATAAATTAGAAATTTGTAATTAATAGTGGCAATAACTATACTTTATACATGAAGTATTCAATTAATGTTGGATAGATTAACCTGTATAGAGGAGTAAATTTTTTTTTTTTGCAGGTTAGTATCAGTTGAAGAACTGGACTGTAGTTTTAATGAGATTGAAACATTGCCTTCATCTATTGGGCAGCTCTCTAATATAAGGACATTTGCTGCAGATCATAACTTTCTGACACAGCTGCCATCAGAGGTAAGTGTTTAATTACAAAATTGTAAAATGAATTTTCTTAATGCATTTTAAACTATAGTCTGTACAACCTTTGAATAACAAGTTAATATTTCTTGAATATATTTTATTTATGCATTTTTTAAAGCAGGGTGTATACAAATATACAAGTTCAAATAACAAAATTCTGATTTATTTTTAAGCAAGAAGTATAAATTTTGAAATTAGAAGAAGGTTTAATATTTAAGAATAAATCTATTTGTACTCCATGGGTAAAAATAGCTATAATACTAATTTTACTGTTTTAATAATACTGTTTTAAAACAGTAAAAATTTGCATATGTGGAGTTGTGAAGGTGCATTAATTTATTTTTTTTTTTCCAGATTGGAAACTGGAAGCATGTAACAGTGTTGTTTCTGCATTCTAATAAGCTTGAATTTCTCCCTGAAGAAATGGGTGATATGCAGAAATTAAAAGTCATCAATCTAAGTGACAATAGGTTTGTAAATATAGCGGTATACAATTCAACAATAATGTGGAAGTAGTATTGTGAATATTATGCTATCTTTCCTTCTCACACACAGTGTGGAAGCTGACTGAGATGCATGTATTTAATGTATTATTATTGTACCTTTGCAGTTCCATTGTATTAAATCATATTTTAAAGTCTTGACACATGGCACATGCATTGAAGCACAGTTTCAGTACATTCATGATTGTTAGCATATATTTTTCTGGGGAATTAGATTGGTTGTTTTCATAAAACTTTTGATTCCTACTTTAAAGTTAAACGCTTCTTGTATTGCCTATGGAGCACACAAAACAGGACCACAAAATAGTGTAAAACTTGAGTGTACTGGGAAGGGAAGAAGAGAGAGTTGAGTTGTATTAAAGCTGGTCATTACAAACTGACAAAACTTCTCTCTTTAGAGCATTGACAATTTGTGGAATTGAAATATATTGGGAGAGAGAAGTCTGAGCTCTCCCTCCTGTTATGGCAATCGAGCTTCTCTGTAGCTTGATTTATCCATTAATAACAGAGCTTCAGTTATACAGGGAAGCCCCTTTCTCAAACATGTGTCTTGGTAAGAACAACAATTTTCAGATGTAGCACTTTTTCCTGAATTGGTGTGCATATATATTGAATGATAGAATGCTGAGGATTGAGATTAATTGTCTTCAAAATTGTTTTCAAGTCACTGAACTGAGTTAAATTCAAGTTACCGTCACTTACTTTAAGCTTCTTGCTAAACTGGGCAGAAGCACTTGTGCTTGCTTTGTCTTTTTACAATCCCAGATATAGCTGTGAATCTAAATTAAATGCTCTTGCTTTCAACTGTCAATAGTTACTAATTTAACTACATCTGTTAATTGTCCTTTTTAAACATTTTTACATGCAAATGCAGGTTTGTTTCTGAGCAGTCTGAACCATAGTGATCAATGTACTTTCATAAATTCTTGTTGTCTTTTACAGATTAAAGAATTTGCCATTTACCTTTACAAAACTACAACAGCTCACTGCTATGTGGCTATCAGACAACCAGGTGAACTTTTTTAAAATTAAAAATAGATGAGTTTTGACTTTTTTGCTAATGGAATTGGCAATTACAGACCCATCTGTTAAATAATGAGACCTGGTACTGTGTAAATACATCAGCACTCCCTTGGCATTACTGTACTGGTTCTCCTGAAATAAACGATGCTTAGCCTACCTGTCGTTGGAGACTTTAATACTTCTACCAAAGTTCTGTGATGGTTTGTCCACGGCTAAACCACCAGGGAAACTTAGCACACCATTTTTGAGCTAAGTTTCTTGCTACACCTTTTGAACTCTGTGTTTGTTGGAGTGTCAGGCTATTATGCAGTAACTCATGTGCTGATGGCTTGTATTTTTGCTGTATATTGAAACCCTCTCTGCACTATGCCGATTTCCTAAATGGCATTAAGGTGTGCAGGGCTGACAGAAATTCACTAATCTTAGATGTAGTATCTCTTCTTAGGCTTATCTAACTGAAAACACTTTTACTAATACAGTAATTTCAGGAATCCCCTGCCCTTCTTTGTAAGAGGTGGGGGATATTCAGTTTGGTGTCAATGTGAAAAAAACAAATACAAAATTTTTCACTTTATATGATTATCTGCAGCTTTAAATGACCAAATATATTGCTGCATTCCAGATTAGCCTGCTGAATAGTAGTAAGTCCTAGCAACAAACTGGGTTATTTTTTAATATCCACTGTTTGCTTTTCTCTTTACTGAGTTTCAGTTCACAGTCAAACCCAGTCATCAGTCAGACAGACATGTTAATAACTCAATTTTGTTAAAAATTATTCAGAGAAGTGGTTTAATACAAGGCAGAGTAGTCTTCAAAGTAATCAAACAGCCATGCCCTGTGATATGTAAATCTTATTTGCTTTTTATATATATATTCCCCTAACATATGCTTCTTTTATTTTCTTCCTAGTCCAAACCACTTATCCCTCTTCAAAAAGAACCTGACCCTGACACAAAGAAAACAGTGCTTACTAATTACATGTTCCCCCAGCAACCAAGGACAGAGGATGGTAAGACACCCTATTTCATTCAACCCAGACCTTAATGGTTTGGGTTGAAACACCTTAGCAGCTGTTTGCTTCAGACTGACTATTTTAACAGAATGTTAGACAGAATGTTTTGTCCACTACCAAGTACATATTTTTGGAGAAGTACATAGCATTCTATATTTTATTTTAAAAGAAAATCACTCCAGAACAAAAGAGTATTGCTCACATTTAGCTTGAACTGATTTATAAAAGATTAGGCCCAAACTTGCCAGGAAGTTATTCGTGCACACTTACGAAATAGTTAGGAAAATTAGTTGCATTCCAGGAGAAACCACATCAGGAGTTAGG